AACGTTTGACAAATCTTTTACAATTCTATGATAGATAACTTTGAAAATCGATTAGGTAGCATGGTTGATCCTATATGTAGGTGTTTATTCGCTGAGAACGTTCTTTCACAAGATGCGGAACTTGTTGGAATTAAAAGCTCGTAATGTAGCATTTTGTGTAAATTTTAGGAAATAGAATTTTCCACGTTACCTTTCGCCTACTTTAAATGTATGATTTTTAATCTTTTCCATACATTGAGTATCATAATAATTTTTCGCAACTAAAATTTCGGATTTTAAGTCAGTTTTATTAATAATTAAAAAAGACTGAAAACATAAGAAATCAAATCTGACTAATTATGATACTAATGAATAGTATTACATACATGGCTACTTAATTTAATAATTTACCTTAATGGCACTATATTCCGAAAGAATGACAGCCTATTACGACTATTTTTTAATTTAGTTTGTTGACAACTTAGTGAACTTCTAAGTAGTATTTATGAAGTACAAACTAACGGCATGATACGTATTATGTCTTACACAGGGTCATCATTACGTAATATATAGTTTGATAACAAAAAATAAATAAATATTTTTCCAAGATATTCATAAAAAAAATCTATGTTTAAAATTAAAGTTTTAAAATGTAGGTACCGTTGGTGAGACTAGACATATTTTTGACTAGTGATGGGAATAATCGAATGATTTCGATAATCGAGTAATTAGTAATCGAGATATTACTATAATCGAGATATTCACTCGATTAAAATAATCGAAATATTATTTCGTCATGGTCGAGATATTCATTCGATTAAAATAATCAAAACATTAAACATTATTGATTAAAAATCAACCAATATTCAACTTATTAATACAAAATTAAAGTGGTTATTACAAATTCATAATTACACTTATTTTTTTTTTATTATTGATCAAGAAAAAAAACTCGGCAGCTACATGGCCATTAGGTACAATTATGGTATGGTTACAGGGTTTAAGATTTTAACAGCATTTTTTCTTTTTTAAGATATTAAATAAATATCAATTTTTTACACAGCGGTGGTTTAGTTTTTGATCGAATACCATAGACCATTAAAATAATTTTTAAATTTAATTAACATTTGGAGGGGGGAGCTGCAGTAACGCCACTGTAACATTATACGTTATTGTGAGTAACTTTATTTCACCTTTTACTGTTCACCTTCTTCAAAAAGTCGTTAATTTTAATTATACAATTATTCAAATATATTTTAAGTAAGTACATAATTATATAATTTTTGACTAATTTAATAAAATATATACATTAAGTTTTTTTTTATAAATTACAATAACATTTTGTGTGTTCTATCGTTCTGAGAATTCAAGTGTAAGATCAGATATTTTTAGTTAACTGATGAGTAGAATAAAATAATACTCGAATTACTAGTATTTTATTAGTAATTTTCGTTTTATTATATAAGAGACTACTAACTACTAATAAATAGTAATTACTGTTATCATTCGATTATTTTCTGTCGATTATTCCCATCGCTAATTTTGACAGGGGGGGCTAAAATTAATATTGGACGGGCTAAGCCTCCCCCCCCAGTCTCCCCCTAGTTACGCCTATGGTTAAGGGTTCACTTCAATTTAGTACAATATTACGCAATTTAAAATTATTGCTTTTTTTAATAATAGATACGAGTATATATATATATGTATATATGTATGTATTATTTTTCATTGAATTATTACTTAACTATTAATCAGTTTTTATGTATAAGAGGGTCAGAGAATTACCTGAGAATTATATATAGTTTAAAATGATCCATCTAAGGCGTGATATCATAATAACTGGATTCTTGATCAATTTAAATCGTCCAGGTAACAAACACTGCGACTAGGATAACTAGCTGTGCTGCGATGGTTTCATTACTATGACACACGTCAACAGTGTTATCTGATGGAGTGTCACTATTAGTAGAAATTATAATAACAATATTCCGGGTTTACCACGGAGCAGAGAGAGTATACAGGTAGTTAGGTAGATAGACGGGTAGTGGAAAAGAAATGGGCAAATCACATACACCACGGCAGTAGTATAATATTTACGCTATCAATTAGTTAATGGAAGTTTATAGAAGTTTATACTGTTATTATATTATTTTATTATATCAGCCACCTTTTGGCTTCGTCGACGACGACAACGATCAATCAATTTCGTTACCTATTAAATGTTACATTTCATATTTCCATCATTGCAGCTGCATACGATACATAATACATATAATTAAACATATCATAATATCGTATCAATACACGGCACGCACAGAGCACGCCCACATCGTGTAAGTTGAAACACACTACCACCGACTGGTGGTGGCGACAGTGGAGCGAGAATTCAATCCTCTGGCCTCCACTACGCACCGATGCGATGATGAACAAGCGCAATACACGATGCCGACGTAAAATCATACATAACGTTAACGTTCTGAATAATGTCTACGAGTTAAGTACGCCACTGCCCCTACGAAGACCGATCAACGGACCACTGGCGTGGGAGAAGCAACTACATATTATGTTATTGTTTTTTTTTTTACACGCTGGCCCCAACGACCAGAATACTATTTTTTACGAGTATATAACCTTTTAATTGTTAAAAAAAATACCGATAGCTAACAGTACTTCATTAGTAGTTTTATGGTCATAATGTCATTACATAATGTTAATAACCTAAAAAGCCCTGCTGGTCAATAGGATGGTTTAGAAAAATTCTTATAATTATGAAAGCCCTAGGTATATGTTCACTTAACGATATAATATCTGATTATTACTTACAGTTCATCGTATGACAGCAATGGATACGGTAGGGCGCGGATTTAAATGTCCTAAAAAACAACAACAAAATTAATTTTAAAAATACGATTTAATGCACCCTAGTATAAATGTATAATATTACAAAACTTAAAAAAAACTACATTAGAAGTAGTTATGACACAACGTTAAATAACAATACATTTGTAATATTCAAATATACCTATCATCTATTTTTTAGTTTATTTTATTTTAAATTTATTCACTACTTAAAACTAAAAAATAGGTTAGTATAGAGAGGTATATACAACTCAAGTGAAGGAACGGTAAAATCTACACCCCTTCAATAGAACAAATTTAAGATAATAGACTCAGACCATACTAAGACAGTAAGATGTGGTATAACTATAAGGTATTAGGCAGGTAAGGACTTTTCGAAACCAAATTTAGTTATTGTCATGATTAAATTAAAATTTCAAAATTCCCAACTTTTCCCGTTACGTTAAGACTATAAATAAGCGACTGTTAATAGGACGAAGCTAACGAAAAGGCTCACTATAATAATTTTAAAAGGTGTTTGGAACGTAAAAATAACGGAATATCTACATCAACATTATATTATAGGCAAAACTGTTTAAAACGTAGCTTACAGATTCTTCACCAGATTAATATTATATGCACAAAGATAATACCATGACAGAGAAGTTAACAATTTAACAACGATAACGATCCATCACGAACCGAACATAGGTACATTGTGTTCGGTAGCGAGTTTAAAATTATTTTCAAACATGAATATATTACGTTTCTTGCAAATTTTCATTTACAGGTCACACTGCCATTATATATATAATTAGTAATTACTTAGTGTATGATTATACTCAATCACTCGACCGGGATGCTCACGATTGATGGCGGAGGGATTTTTGTTATTCAAATGTCATACTTTATCTATATTACATATTATAAGACTCTCCGCACATTAACCGATGTGTGTATTTTTTATTATTTTTTATCATATTTCGGCGACAATTCAGTTAGTATGGAAAACTACGTATATATAGGTATAATAGTTGTTCAATATTATATACAGGGGGTCGTGTGCATCGTGTAATCGATTGTTGTTGATCGGATACTTACACGAATCGAACGGAGTTCGAAAAAAAAATAATAAGTTATGGTTGAATAAAATGTATATGCGAGTACACGACGACGATAATGTGACGGGTTTCGGTACACGATAAACAACGGGACTGGAGTAAAAACAATTCGAGATGTTTCTAGTCGCGTTTCAAAGCGTAGCGTAGAGGTAAGGGGAAAAATTCGCTGAACGCTATAGACGTGTAATAAATTAAGGCGACTTGGAATTTAAAACACCGTGTAATATACTCCGTTTTGCGGATAAAAAATATAAATTATATCACTTTAAAAAATTGTTTTCGATGAGATTATTACGCAATAACCAGTATCTGGGCATTCTATTATGCATGCATAAATTGGACATTCTGGTTATATAAATATGTATATATAGCACGATATTCATAGGTTAAAGGTAGTGCAGACGTTAACAATAGCTAAGGAAATAAATAAGTTAACGCCGACCAGTTTAGGAACCGAATTTATTTGCTTTAAGATCTCGTTATTTTCGTACAACATCATATTATACAGTCCCGTTGTAGTATTTATGACATCTAAGTTTTGCCTGTTCTACAATCAGTAATTACTATTACACATACACGAAAGTGGGAACAAAAAATGAAAAGGGCCAATGTTCAATATAATGGATAATAATGAATCGCATTAGAACCATAGTTCATTTTACTTTTGTATTTTTTTTACCCAGTGTCCATTAGTATCCACTACATGTATCCGCGATCAAAATCAAAATCTTTGAAACTCTGATATTACACCGAAAGTCAAAACTAATACTTAATAGAAATGGATACACGAAAATTTACACGAAACGCGTCGATGACAATAATCGGAAGATCAGGTTCCGTCACGATCCGGAAGGTCCACGAAGCTCGCGTTTTCGTCATAAATGCCGACTTCGACCGATGTCCACACCAGGGAAATCGAAGAATCTCTCCCCTGAAGTGCTTTTCGGCTACCAGACGGACAGACAGCTCTTTCGCCGCCATATCGTTAAACAGAAGACGTTCCTACCAAAGTAGAAAAAATAAATCAGTTTATACTACCATAAAAACTGAGTAGTGTGCCGCGGGGAGCCGAATATATTATTAGCTAGTGACTAATCGTAAGTATAGTATTATAATATAATATACCTACGGTGTATGGAGTGAAACGAAGTCGTTTTTATACTACAGGATATATCGGTCGTGTGATTTCGCATGGCGGCGGTGCGGCGGGATCTATAGAACGCATTAATTACGTTTACATGATAATATAATAATACGATGTCGTCTCGCCACGGCAGCCGCGAATCCGGTCGGAATTTTTTTTCCATTCCTCTGGAGACCCTACCGCGCTACGCCTAATAAATAATATTCGATTTATCGTAAACGGGAGGCTGCCAGTAGGTACTTATATGTGTTGTGTGTGTGCGCGCCGCGCCGCGCGTATACACGAGCAGCGTAAAGGACGGGAAAAAAGTTGTCCTATTACCACCACTAGCACTGTACCGCAGTGGCACGAAAAGGTGTTAGAAAATTATTGCCCGCAGTCTATGCGTAAGTAATAATTACCCGTGTGTGTACACGAGTGTGCCGCGAGTGTGCGAGAAAAAACTCATACGTTAATAAGAGACCTCGTCACGGCCGAAGTAAAGGGGGTGATGGGTGGCGGGGTACCGTGGACGTGGGGGGGGCCGGACCATACGAGTACAAATATGATGTAATAAAATATTATATTATAGTATTCTTATGTGTACGGACGGCCGATTGCGTGTGTGCCCCCGCCGACTACTCGATACTCGATACGCCGATAAAGAATTAAAAGTTAAAACGAAACGAAATAAATATCGATGTTAACCCGAACAACGGCGCAATGATTTATATCCAACAGTAGTAGTTGAGCGCACACACAGGCGGCGGCAAACTACTTTGTCATTAGCTGCTAATGAATTTACTTTATTGCGTCCGGACCGCGCACGATACATACGTATATAATATAAATATGTGTAACTATTTATTGCCCAATTATAAAGTCGAAGGAATCTTTTTTTTCCACTCCTCTTCTAGACTCTTGAAAATATCATCTTCTCGGTAATAATAATAATAATAATAAAACGAGATCCGATATCGCCATGCTCGCTCGCGACTCATTGTATAACGAACAAGCCGGTAGCGGCGGCCGATAAACGCAAACGTCATCGATGGGAGGGGGCGTGTAATTGTAGCTGTAAAAGTATACTCAAAACAGTTTTATTTTTTAAAAATTAAGACTGTATTTCTAGAAAATTATTCACTATGAATGTTGAAAACAATGTTAAATTAATAAAAGAAACAATCAAACTTCGTAAACAGATTCAGATTAATTTTTTATAAAAAAAAAACATTTAACACAAGTCTTAGGCAAATACAAATTATATAATTTATTCATAAATTATCATGTAGGTTAGCAATTCATAAATTTATTCTCGGCATAGACTTGCTGATTTCATCAACAAAATATAATAACATAGGCGGCCTATAATGGAACGATGAAACGAAATAATTAGTAATAATTGTTGTCGGTGCCTATATTTAAAGCTCGTCGGTTCGAACCATATGCAATTTTATCGATAGCAATAGGATCTAATTATTGTTCGTTAGTCGTTACAGGTACTAATTTACCTCTGTAGTAATCATACGTTCCAGAGAATAAAATTAAGACGAAAACCGACACATCAATTACTCGGTCATGTCTTATAATTAATATCTCGCCTGTACCAAATCTAAATGTTAATAGCTGTATCTTGACTTGAGTTATCACCAGCCAGATAACTGTTTACATATTATCACATATTTGCATCGGAACCAGCCAGTCCCTATTCTAAGTGCGCAATACGAAAATTCTAACGAGTAGTACACATCTACGAATTTGAACAGCGTGTGCAGTACCTACTCATTATAATATACTACTATATATTGAATATTACCATATTATAAATATATATTTTTTTTTAAATAAAATTTATTGCATTTGAGTGACATCTGTGAAAATGTGTATGCTAATCATGAGAATGTAAAACATTACAATTAAAAATTGCACACATACCGAAGATTTGAATATACTTACCAAGATTAAAGTATCGTAAAAATGTCTACGGTAAAAACAGATTATGTTCTTAACTTTATAAGATTAATAATGACTAAATTCACACACATATTAAATCCAACAACACAAGATAGTTTGAACACAAATGTAGAGACTATATGTTATATACGTAAACTGTAGACAACATATTATTTTAATCAGTGCACTATTTTTTCAAAACTGCATTCGAACGCAACAGCGCAGTTTACTAGTTGTAAATTTATTTGTCTATTGGAAAAAAATTATCGGGTCACCTAGATAAATTGTATTCACCCAGCCAGAATTTAGTACTCACAAACTGTCATGAAGAAATGGTCACGAACAATTTTTTCATCGATTAAAAATTATATGAAACAACTACCTCAAATGAACAAAAATCTAGTGAGCGGAGTAAGTTAAAAGTAAATCGATAATACTATATTGCAAGGCTCCGCAAAATTTAACGTCCGGTAAGAAAATTGAACGGTTGAATAATTGAATAGTTGTTTACTACACCTATGTGAGCATGAGCAAGCTATGTGTGAAGGTATTTTATTAACATTAACAAGAAATTAGTCTTATTGCTACTACACACAGAGATCAAAGCTCGATCCACTTAAACTTACATTCAACAATCAAACTTATTCTTTACGTAGTAATATATGATTGGTATGTATATACATTTTGATCAAGTACGAAACGCACATCTAAGTGCAAAATTTTTCCTCCGATCATCTTTCTTTCGGCTGAGACTGTTATTTTTTCAATACTATACGGCCCCAAGGCCGGCCGTAGTGATTGTCGCTTGTGGCCACGAGTAAAACGACGCCCATCGCGCTCGCCTATTGGCCCGACCCACATACGCGCGACGGCGCCAGACGCTTTCTCCCCCGCCGTCGCCGCCGCCCCTTTTTCCGGAGTTTCGCGCACCTGGAGAGGAACTAGCGACCGGCGGCAACGACTTCCATAATTGTCATTAATATTACGCAACTGTAAAATCAATATCTAAAAATAAAACTGAACCACGATACTCTACTATAACTATAAGCTGGTGGAATTATTTCGATTCTGACTGCTTGGTATCGATACTACTACACGAACAGAATTATTTTTATTTTAACTAATTAAAAAACTATCATAACGCGTGTTGTTATAAAAAATTAATTGATATTACATATTATGGAATAACAAAGCAAAAAGCGAATTGGTAATTAGTTTATCACCCCAATATACAAAAATATTAAAGAATTTCGTCAAAATGAATATAAAAATAGTTATTACATTAAAAATCGGAGAAAATCTATAACGACATATTTTGCAATTTATTGTCGTACATGCCTTGCCCCTTCCAAAAACAAACTCTGGATCCAGAAACACAGATAAATTAATTTAAAAGGAGTATTCAGGTAGTTTTTAATTTATATTTTTCACCTAATAATGGGTACCTAGTAGTACATTATAAAAATAAAATACAATGTTGACACTATTGTGCATCACCAAACTCGTTTGAATAAAGTATTAAACCAACGAGACAAAAATCCTTTCATTAATCGTGTATTCACGCAGACCGTAAAAGTTACAGCCCACTGTCCCAAGTTATCTAGCGGCCCAAATCTACTTCACAAAGTCGACTCAACATACAATTTTTACTCAAAGTATATCATTATACCAAGACAAGACGTGATATCTAGACGATGATCTGATCATTATAATTAAATAATAATAATGACTGTAATAAACTACGAAGAGCCTTAGAAGTTAATATGCTTATGAATTTATGATCTACAAGTACTGGGTGGGGGAAGCGTTCATTTTCCCCCAGCGTATACGACCAGTTTTGCGAATCGCGAAAGGCCACCTGTTTCGCGCAAAAACCTGGATTGCGAGATGGGTGGTGGTTGGACGAGATATATCACACGATTACGATCATTGTTATTCGTTATAATGATTCAACCGTCGCGCGAAAGGTGTGATAATAATTTTCCGTCGAATATACCTATTACACGGCTTGGCACGAGTGGTATTATAATTAATCGGTCACGCTTAGTGAAGATTAGGGAAGGGGACATATACCCAGAACCCGTTGGTTTCGTGGCTTCGTGTTCATGGTAGGTATGTATATATACCGCGTGGCGATTAATTACCCCACCTGTCGTCGCAGACGCCGGTTTTACATAATATCGTCATATTGTACGACGACGTAACCAAGTGAGACATTTTCAGTTTTCTTCAAAACACATTATTTCATTATAATATATAATGATTAGCGAGGACAACATTTTCCTTGTCAATGAGAGCAATTTCATTAGAATAGGCAACGTAGAACACAAATCGATACACATCATATATTAAAAATACGAATAATTTATTGAAAAATAATAATATGATAATAATAAATCAATTGTATGTACAAATATAATATATAATTTTAATTTACAAAACTTAACGTACAAATATATCATTATATATTTATATGCGTGAACATTATCTACAACATATAAATAGTATAATAAAATTATAACACTAAACGACGTCATAACGCTAAAGGTAACAAAAAGACATTATAAAAAAAACCCGGGTAGAACATACGTGGAGAAATCAATCAGTGTGCAATGCGGTACAATTCAATAAGTTTCAGACAAAATGGGACTAATCGAAGTCGAGTGCACACCATACATGCGTGTGCACGTCATCGTGAAGCTTCACATAACAAATGGTAAAAAAATAAAAATATTTCAGATCTTGTAGTCTGCGTGTGTGTATGTGTGCCGAGAACATATTGTAATAAAATATATTATCCTAAGCCAATATTTAAACACGTCTACGTGTACGTCGGTTATTTTGTTAGGTCTCGACGGGAGGTCGGATGAGTTGATTTGCTTATTCGTTCGGGACGGATTGGCCGTCAATGTAAATCATCAACTGTAAAAATTACGAGAAGATATCGCGGGTATCGCAGTGCTTTCCGTTTAATGTTTATAAAAACGATCTATAATCAGAACGATCGCGAAATCGATCGAAAACCCTAATCGTATAAACCCGTTTATCTTATTTTTTTTCATCGCACGTGAAAACAATGACAAATCGAAAAGTAGTATTTAGTTTTTTTTAAATCGCGATTATACGACGATATGCGTAGATTGTTATATGGTTCCGGGACGTGTATAAAGTGTAAAATATTATGTACAAGAGAGCCAAGGGAAGCCAGGGAAGGATCCGAAAGGAAAAATAGGTATATTAAACACTATATATCTATATAGAATAAATAATAACCAGTTTCACCAGTCGGATTTAAAAACGTTAGATTGTTTTTTTATTATTATTCAACGAATGGGATAGACGTACACGTTTCATTTAAAACAAATAGAATAATTTACTTGGGAGCGCACACGCACACACGATGTCATTACAGCGCGTGTAACCGATTTACTGGCAAGAGTATAGGCGGGTTATGGGGAGGGGTAGAATTGTCGAAATCGACGGTCGCAACCACGTAGTACGAGGGAACAGTATATCACAGTTGAAAATATTTGAGAGAAAATCTAAGGGAAAACATTTGTACACGTATTAAATTGACGGTCGACGTACATCGGCACGCGTGACGACTGACGGGAGTAAGCGACGCATACACTCTACAAACAGCTACTCGTAAGCAGGGTACGTCAAAATATCAAATATATCACATTTTTTGGATGCAAAATATTCAACATTTTTTCTCGCAAAATTGTGCAAGACGTACGATAAAAATTTTTTAAAAAATTTACACTGAATACGTATAATATTAAGTATGTCGTAAATATATGGCACCTTGACGACACCCGACCGTGTCACAGTGCGAGGAGGTTTAGCTAAACTCGGTGCACGCGAAGTTGTCTTCGAACATGTACGGGTCGCCATTGAAGTCGATTGGTGGCAGTGGGTGATCGGCGAACGGCATGAAGGCCGCGGCCACGTCCACCGGAAAGTCGGCGGACAGAAGCGGCGACGGAAAACCGATGACGTCGGTGGCCGACGTGGAACACGACGACGGAGACAGCGAATAGCTCGCGGCCGCACCCGGCAAGTCACGCAGGAACGCGGCCGAGTGATGGTGATGGTGGTGATCGGCGAGGAACCCGACAGTGGACGCAGCGGACGAGCACTCGCTACCGCCGCCGCCGCCACAGAGTAAGTCAGATGCGTACTCGCTGAGTAGCGAGTCCACGTCGTCGGACGTCGAAGGCGACAAACAGCAGCCAAGCGCGGCCAAGTGGTCGGTGGTAGTCGGAAGCGGCGCCGAAGACGACGACATCGCTGCTGTCCCGACGAGTCCTCCGCCACCACCAATGCCACCGCCGCCGCCGCCGCAGATGGTCGCCGTGGCCGCGGCTATAGCTGCGGCCTCGGCGGCGGTGGTCGGGGATGACGAAGACTGAGAGCCCGGCGCCGCGGTCAAGAGTCCGCTGAGCGCTGAAATGTACTTCATGGCCAGCCGGAGCGTGGTGATCTTGGTCAGCTTCTCGTTGTGCGCGTCCACCGCCAGGTGCGGCACGGCACGGCGAAGTGCTTCGAACGCCTCGTTGATCTCCCGCATGCGACTCCGCTCGCGTGCGTTCGCCGTCTTCCTCCGATACCTGCATAACAGTTCACGAATTATTGCTGTGTCGACACGACGTGTAACACCACACGGTGGACTTGGGCCCCTATTATATGCGTGTAGCGTGATTAGAGGTTCCTATAATGGTCAAAGGGTAGAGGACATCACTATGTATCTCTTATTTATTTCACTAAAAATAACCATGTATAATATTTATGATAATGAAATCTAGTTTTGTTCTTTATATAAAACAAGATATTTTATATTAGATATCTATATCCTCAAATATATATATATTTTAATGGCACAGTATTCTTAACTTAATTGATTAAATTAAGTTAAATTTAAAAAGGCTTAACTTCTTAAGTTCACCAAAAAAAATTTCATAAACACATTAACATTATTACTTTACAACCCCTTGAGAAAAGTAAGAAAAAATATTTTCTGAAGTCCACGGGTCTTTTAAATTGTTTTTTTATAAACATATACATATATGTATGTTTTTTTTTAATGCGCATCTTGTACAATTCAGTTTGTATACTAAGTTCTATAACGTACCTATAGTTTGTATAGTTTGTAAAAATATATACGCCATATATATTACCAATGGTAATTGGTAAATAAATTTTATAAGAAAATATGTATAACCAATAAATAATTCTATAGGTATAGGTGCTATAATAATACTGTTTTATTTTACAGTAGTTTATTATAATTTTAAGCAGTTTTATTTTTTTTTTTAGTGCAATTAACTTATTATTGGTTATGGATTAGTAATTGTAGACGGAGAAAATTATTTTTGGTATGTGTATGCAATATTTTTTTTTTAATTTTCAACACTTGTTAAACATTATAAATCACGTTTTTACTATATTCAGCGGTTTTACAATTTTTAAAAATCTGAACAGTCAGTAAAAATTATTTTTATTCATACTACACATTTTCAAAGAGAAATATTAACATAATTTATATGAGTCAGATTATCTTAATAATTACCATCGTCATAAATATACATGTTCTTATTTTCTAATGTTATTCACGATGACTAGTAAAATAAAACGAGCGTGTTAATGTAGTACCTACCATCAGTGGTTTAGAATTTTTTACAGAAATCGAAAGTCAACATATTATTTTAAATAATAGCACACGAGTGACAAAGCATGTTCGAATATTTATTTTCGACAGGGCGTCGAAGTGGTGTTTTGTGTGTTTTTGGTTTTATATACGACTAGGAATTTCTTTCGAACATTCGATTGTAAAGAAAAAACAAATTAAACACATATCGCTGCTGCATTAATATGCGCCCACCCCGAATTCATTCAAACCAATATCCATAAATAACACGCCAAGGGCGTAACCCTAGCAAACCCAAAATTATAAGATCACATTACCTAATCTCAATAAATAAATACATTCAATTAATATAAGAGTCGAATTAATTAATTGTTTAAAATCAAGTGTGTTGAATAAAATTAATAAGTATTATTTTTGTCATCGAAAAATAGGTATAATAAGAACGGAAGGAAACGTCTAATGATTATTACGACGGCTTTAGTTTAAACAAAGAACACTGTAACTATACAATAACGACGTTAAATCGATTTGCAAACGATACCTATCTTACGAGAATCCTAATTTAAGCATTATTACGGGGACTAGTACCTTGGGTACTCCTACAGTTGTAAATATACATTCGATCGTAATAATTCACCGCCCTCGGGCGCGGTGTGTCTTAATGTATTTGACGATTAGTTTTTTTGATATAGGTCATACTAAAAAAAGTTATGTAAGGAAATTTTTAAACAATATATAATTATTTACTTACCAATAATTTTTTTTTTAAGAAAGAAGTTAGAAATAAAAATTTTATCACAAAAAATATATATTTTTTTATTATAAAATATTAGCAAAAACTTAATTGGATTTGGTAACTTGACAAATTTATTTGAATAATTAATTTAATTTCCCAATAAAAAATCATTTATAACAGGATATAGTCTATGTAGAAATCGTAGAAAAATACTATTAAGTATGCTAACATAGTTCAATGCAAATATTTATTTTTATGACTCGTTGAAAATATATTAATACTTCTAGGATACTGCTAAAAAATGCAAAACATAATCATTCTCATTATTTATTATTTCAACGGATTTTGTGAAAAAAAGTTTAGCAACCATAGGTAGTTATTTTTAAATTTTAGTCACGTCAAAAAATTCTTATCTTATCAAAATTAATAAATAAGTACGTTTTTAGATACTTTTAATAAAGACTACACCAAAATGTTTTTTGCGGGTAATCATCATAAGAATTCTTTTACCAATAAACTTCTCTGGCGGACACTCAGAAATTATCTATAAAATATGTACCTATATATTATTGTCGCTAAAATTAGTTATGTTTTTTAAAGCAAAAATAAGTCGTAACTATCAGTTACAAAAACATCTGTTGTCTTAGCCAAAAAAACACGCGCGAGCACGAACACGCACACAAAAGTGTAAAAAAAAATTTCAGTGGAAAAATATTTAGTTGACATAATAATTTAATAAGACTTACCTGCTAAGGGGCTTAGGTTTTTGGCGTCGTTTGGTAGACCGACCGCGAGTTGATGGTTTCCAACTGTCTTCGTGATCCTCATCGGGTTCTTCGCGTTTCAGCGACGCCCTGGGTCGAAGTGAGTATTTTTCCTGCGCTTTTTCCGGTAACGGCAGAGCACTGTTATTGTTCGCGTCGAACTCGGCCATTTCAACGGATTGTGTATAATAAATAAAATCGATTTTAAAAAAAAACTATATCTGATGCGGAAAACAAAACACTTATTCACTGCAGATGACAGTCAAAATTCATCGCTGAACGTGCGCAAAATCGATCGTTCGATCGTAAGAGTTAATACACATCACCACAGACTCACGGCGATGAGAACTCGCGCGTTGACGGCGTACGACGTCCGACTGGCTGGAGTAGCGAGGCGCCGGTCGTTCAAGTCTCTCGTACGAGGCTCCGGAGACAAGACTGCCGTTCAGTGGCGGCGGACCGATCTCTACCGGCCGTTCGAACGCTGGGCATGCAGCAGAGGGCACGCGCTCGACAAGCCCCCTCCCTCTCATAAACGTAATATACGTTGCCGCGCGTAGTCTATTATAATAATAATAACAACAATAATAATACATGCACGCTGCCCCCGCGACACCCAAAAAAAAATAATAATAATAATAAAAAACCGGACCCATTATTTATGTTTCCCTTTTCTTATGCCTATTCTTCGTCTCTGTTTCTTTCTCTTTGTCTATCTCTGTTCTAACCGATGTTACACTTCGACAGCATTATCGGTATCTTCTCTCTCTCACACACTCTTTCTTCCATGTAGGTATATCTATTGATAATTATGCATGTAGGTATTAATTTAATAGGAGGACAACAAACCGCGTAGGATACATCGGCAACTAACATTTTTTGCTGCTATACTCTATCAAAATATTATTGTCTCGATTTATTGGTGATCGAATATCTATTTGCAGCTTGCAAGTGACTGTGTCGTGCGTTATTCGAGGTGATGCGTAAAAAACTCGATTTGTTACTAATCACACCTGGGCTGTGGATTTAAAGGGTTTACGCGTCTTATTGTTTTACCCTCGCCATCCAAATACAAAAAAAAACATTATCATTTCATAGAAACATTTGTGTTTGGTAAAAACATGGTTAACTTCACCACTATGATACACTATATTATACTACGTTCCAATGAAAGCTGTTTTTGTTGATTATGTTTTTCAATTATACTTTTATAAATATATTTAGGAAAAGTTATTGGATAACCTGAATTTATAACTGATTAAACATCCGAATTTTTGTTTTTTTGAACTATTTATTTCCAGATTATTAATGATAGAGGTAGTTGATGAATAAAAAATATTAAGTAAGTACCAAATGTTATTAATGATTCCTGTAAACCCGGATTAGCAAGTACCTAATATAAATAATTAAATTGTATCTTAAAAAATAAGATCTCCTTGGCCAACATCTATTTAAATATTTTTTTTTTTAGTTTAGTGCCTATTTATTTTTATTTTATTTAAAATATAAAAACTTATTTAGTGTAATTTTAAATAGTAATATGGATAAGTCATAACAATATTAAATACACAACTTTTAATTTTAGTTTACTCTATAGTGGAATTTAAATAAATTTAATATTAGACATCCAAAAACCATAGATAAGTCAAAAGCAAAATATGTATAAATTAAAGGATTAGTGTGTACATAAGCTATTATCCAACATATTTATTTTATGAACCTTCAATGTAAAAAAACCTTAGGCATTTCATAAACGTTTTTGTATTTTATTTTGGAATGGTAAAATTGTAGATAATTTGAAGATAATTTATAATATCGGGTTTTAGAAAAAAATAGGAAACGTAAAACATGAGCTGCTATCTGGTGATCAAACGCGGTACCAACAGTTTCATGTCCAGATAATATACCTACTCAATGGGCACCACTCAATTATGAGCACTTTCAAATATTAATATTTATATACCTACTCATAACTCACTTAAAAATTAAAATATCTGAAAATCCCGATCGAGAGAACAAGCATAAAAGTTTTAACTAAAAGTTTGATGATAGCCAATAATTCAATTCACTCTAATATCAAAACAGCACACTATTGAAACTAGGGAACTAAAAATTTGGTGTGTTGCACCCGTACGTGTGTATTACGGAAAATACAGGTACGACATCCTCTTAACTGAACAACACTCACAAATTCTCCGGAACAGTGGGTTAAAAAATCAATGAGTATTATACTATTACACACTTCTTTACATTTAAATAGTAAATTATAATCCCCTACGGCAGTCATAAATGCACTTAAACTACGCTATGCATTGAAAAGTAAACCCATTAGACATCATGATATAATACGATATTGTACCATTGCAATCAATGAATGGACAAAATCGAAAACATTGAAAGCAAATAAGACAGGAATGAAGGTCGTAGGTTACTTATTTATAAAACTATGGGCTAAATGCAATGTAAGACTCAGTTTGTGTATGATTTATAAATAATTATTCACAAAAAAAAAAATAGTAAAATTTACATTCAGAAACGCCCGTTAATAAAAAAAAATATGTATATAATATATAATAACCGTGGGCAGAGTTATATGGTCTGTGGGTATGAATTTTTCTCTTACTATTTTATTAAATCAATATTCTTCAACTATATAATATACACAATGCATAATAATGTAACCGATATAACTTTTGGCCTTGACGTCAAACAATTATTTATGGAAAAGAATAAAATAAAACAGATTATTGCAACGTAAAATAAGTTTGAAGATTAATACCCGCAACATTTTAATGCTCACTTTTTGAAAAAAAATATTTACTTATATGGGGTTTAGAAATACGTCATAGTGCCGTATTCATACAATACAATTCAATCACTGAATAACCTCTTATAAAACTATTTCTTTATGGGATATCATCTTATATTACACATCCAACATAGTCTTTAAAGTATAAGCTTTGGAAACAAATCATGCCTTGACATCCAGACTAGTTTCAATGGACATATTTAAACTTTATTCTAATCGTTATTTTGTTTCCAATATCAGGCCCAATAATAAATAAAACTAGATTTAAGTACAAATGTTAATTGTTAATTCAAGTGACGAACTGGAGAACAGGTCAAGAGTTTACTGTATGGACTCGGAAAACAACAAAAACTTTAAAAAACATATTTTCACCGTCGATCGATATTTGCATCACCCGTAAAGTAAGACATGCATACATATTAAATACTCAAAGATGTCCGTGATACACATGACTACGCGAGCTCGCACATTGAGAGTAGGTCACAGTGGGCACGGCAGCGCGTCGTTGTCGGTCGTAGGCCGCGTTCGTTTCCGGACCGCGTAGTATTTATTATATTATTATGAATGAAACGCGCAAGAGGTGTTGCAGCCGTTGTGTAATAATATTTTAATCGCGCTCGCGCTTCGTAGGTATAACATTTACAGCACGCGCCGAAAAGTGGAGACGACGGCGAAACCACCTACTCCACCTCATCATCACTCAACCCCACCGAACTTCCGGTAATGACGATTATATTATATTATAATGTAATACTTAAATACCGTCATCGTCGAAACACGTTCTTATAACACTATTATCCTACATGTTGGTACACCGCAGGTAATAACAATTATCACGGTCGACGACTTCCGGTGAACGCACGGCGGCGACGGCTAAGACGCGCAGAGACCGAGCGAAAATGCAAAAACGTCGCGTGGGTCGACGAAACAGCGCCCAAATAGTATTATCCGCCCACCAGCGGCGGCAACGGCGGCACAGAACAGCCTTGGCGCCACTGTCGTTTTCCCGTCAATGAAACGCGTCCCGGCGTGTTGCACACGCGCGACGCTTCTCTTATACAAAGTACCTCATTTTTTATTTTTAACTCACACTTGCGCCCGACTGTTCGAAGAATTTTGAGTTAATCATCACGCGGTTACTAAGATAGAATTCAATTATTACATTTATTTGTGTATTCAACACAACACGTTGTTACAACGCATTGTATAATAAATATTAAATATTATAAAGACCTATAATATGGCTAAACACTCACATCCGTACCCAATATTATGAAGTTTTCTTAGTATAATAATTAATTGGAATCTTAGTAAGTTTCTGATGATTCCATTGATATTATAATAATAAATAATAATCGAAACTTAAGTATTCTAATGTAGACATAATTATTATGGGGGGAAAAAGTTATTATCGAATTGTGAATTAACATTTAGCCAAGCAAATACTATGTTAATTTGTCGTTCAAGAAAATATGATTTAGTTTAAAAAAGGAATATTTCTATTGAAAGTAAAATTGATTCATTATTATTAAAAAAAACATACCAGGTAAAAATTAAATTGTATGAGAATATTTGGGGTTTTGAGTAAGTATAAGTGCATTTCTATTTATTAAATGAATTTTCTTATTATTACATTAAGCAGTAAAAAAAAGTAAAGACTTTATAAAAATGTCCATGAGGTATCTATCTATAATATGTTTGCTTCACATTTTACTATTTTGGTACTTATTTCATAAGCCCAAGAACTAACGAATGATATTAATTTCTTACAGTGCCCATACATTTGCTGATACATTATTATGATCATATTTTCGTTTGATTTATTATTGTCAACACTAGAATTTATTCATTATTGATATGAAGCAGTAGCGCGTAATTAGGAATTTGTTCTGGAGTAGGATATAAGTTTTTATAATCGTAATAGAGGGGGCTATGCCCCTACATCCCCCTTGTTCGTTAAGTTACAATGATCATAATATTATTATAAATTTATTATCACAAATTAAATGAGATAAACTGTTTAATAATGGTTTTCAAAGATAAATTTATTATTCATAATATTAGTAAAATGTAGTGCATTTTTTTGTGCATTATTTAGAATTTTTACTTAGAAGTTTTTTTTAGTATTTTTAAGGAATTCAAATCCCATGCCTAATTATTGTGTAATTTACAAAAATAATTATTAACAATATTGGCTGGTTTAATTTTTTTCGTGTCTAGGCGGTTAAAAATAATGTCAGAAGTCGTTTTTATCAGTTTTATCTTTTGAATTTAATAATAATTAATCATTGTCCATTAATTTTAATTTTAAAAATATTTTATAAAAAAGGGCCCACTAGAATTTAGTACATACAAATTTTTAATTTTTAGTGTACCCTAAAAATGCAATTGATAATATCTATTACAATTTAATACAGGTATTATGAATCATTAATTAATAATTACAAAATAGACTAGACCGGAATCGTTGAAGTACGTTTACTTTTTTATACTAGTATGTACATAAGTGTACACAAATGTACGTTTAAATCGATCGGCAGTCGTTGAGCAACAGCAGTTTTACGTCATCCGGTCAACTGTTATCGCCGTCGTCGCCTTGTTCCATATAGTAATTTGAATAGGACACTAACAACAGGTACTAACGTACCACCTACTCGTAACTCGTAAGTATCACTGAACTCAAGGCAACCAGGAATAGACATTTATTATGGGTACGTCATAAATCCCTCTTAAAATTTGATCATATAATAATATATTACAATACAATTTTTAATATTACTTCATACAACATTCACTCATTCATGAATTCATGAATGAACTCTCTCTGATGCCCACTATAAAATATACACCCAGAAAAAAAGTCGTTTTATATTCTAATAAGGCTATTTTCATAATTTATTGTCTCGCGATTTTCATAGATGTAAAAATTAATCAATACTAATAATGTCATCGACGGCTAAAAATATTGAACTGCATAAATTTTTTATAAATTAGCTCAAGTACAATATTATAATTTTGAAAGCAATATGAAAATTACAAAGTGGACTCAAATTTAGGAATTCGTGGAAAAGTTAACCAACACTTTATAACTTATTATTATTATAAAAATAATATTATATAAAAAATCAAATTAAAGAACTAATTAAAATCAAATTTCAAACACACTGCATCGAACAAAACACCAGATTAAGAAAAATTAAAAACGTCATCTTCAGTTGGCCAAACTCCTTCGCGAAAAGAAGAGAAAGTCGCGCATACACTCCGCATCAGACGCACTCGACTAACGCATGGATACCTTATGGAAAAGAAAGAAAACCTATGTGCACTACTTACGGTACTGAACTATCGGTCAACCATATCCTCACAGAATGCCTCCAGTACACAGAGGAACTCGACAAACTCAACATCCCCATTTCCCAACACCCTTGACGTTGCACTCAGACCAAAAGCAGACACCACCTACCACATTTTAACTTATTAAAAAAAATCTGAATTGTTCGATTTGATTTAAAATATTATAATTAAGAATATACATTTACAACTAATGGATGTTGTCGCTGATATTTTGCTTAGATCAATAAAAAAAAATTGGTAATATATTTGGTACATTCCGATTGGGATGAGGCCAAAGTTATTATGAATTTATGATGCAATGTCACGGGTTACCGACCGATCTACTATTTCACTGTTGTATACACTAACCAAACGGTCAGAGACTAAAAAATAATTACAATAATATGGGTATTGTACGGTATTAAAATAATATTATTGAATAGGTGTATAAGTATTTCTAAAAGAAGATGATGAAAAAACAGAAAAAGTAAACCTAAGTAAGAAAAAATAATATGGCTTATCACAGAGAAAAGATGACGTGTCAAGTGTGCGTTTACTTTTTTTACCTTCTACGCGCGCGTCACGATGAGTCCTCGGTATTCGTTATTATAATATACCCATAATAATATTACATGAATAGAAAAATATTTCGACATTTAAATAGGAATGAAAATAAATAAATGTTATTGTAAAGCTACCACCGCTGTCTATTGAAACTTGAGACCTAGTGGCACGACGATTTGTTTTGACTCTTTGGTGCGAGCCACACATCAACTGCCGACTGCTCCCCCCCCCCCCCTTCCGACCATAATTATTGTGAAAACACCAATGGAGAAGAAAAGCAACACCACGGCGGTGGTTGACGAAGAGGAATGTCTACCGCGTATGTTTGTTTATCGCGCGTGCTCAGTTCTGGATAGGTACTTCTTTTAAAATGTTAATTCTCATATCTGAACTAGAAACCAACATAATATTATTACACTACTCGTGGCTTTTATAATAGCAATAATACAAAACTGTACAATTAATAACCGACCAACAACATGGTATATATTTTCTTAGCTTGCATAATTGCATTAAACATTTATACCACAATAGTTTTTTTTTTATATGACAATCATTTAACATTTTCTTAATATAATAGACAACTTATGTGATCATATTATCCTAGCATGTTTGTTTTATTTGAATTTATAAGCTTAGCTAAGCTTTTTAATGGATTCTGTATTTTAATTTAATAGGTATACATAAATAATATCACTAAATGTGAAGTCAACTCTGATACTGAGTTGTATATAAATAAATATATTGAATAATATTTAAAAAATACCCACAAAAGAAATATAAATATTCAATTATAAATGTATTTGTTTTCATTTTCTATCAGTATTTTTAGTATTACTAAAGGTAATTTACTATAATAGTAATTATTATATAATATTATTGTACAGTAATCGAAAATTGTAGTAAGAATGATTTAAATGTTGTTAATGTACCTAGCTAGATACTTATTTAATATTCAGTACTAATAAGTAATAACATAAATAGTTTGAATGATATTTCAACTTCAAACAGTAAACATTTTTATTTTCATTACAATTTTTGTTTTTAATCTATTGCACATCTGTTTGTATGTCTATATCTATATTATGTTCTATCTATCAATATAATAACAAACTTCAAGCTTCATAAAATAGGTACATGAGTGTCTCTTAGGTATTTATAGTGACATTGGTAAGTTATCAACATTTGTTTTGCAACAAGAGTACTTCATTTAAAATGTATAAAATAGTTTTAAATGTTAACAAGTTCCATCGATGGATGGGCCACTTCTCACAAACCCCCTGACCGAAATATTATAAATTTAATATTTTATTTTTCTAATATTTCTATAAATCCAAACATCTTTTCTAATTGTAAGAACATGTATATATATTATAATTGATATTATTTTATATTATAAATGAGCAATATTTTTAAAATATTTTTGGTCATAACTGACAATAGTATTAACTGGAAAAGGTCGTAGAAATTAAACTAAATACATACAAATATATAAATATAACAACAATCTAATGAACATTTGTATTTTAAAATTACTTTATACTGAACCTGTTAAAGTGTTAAAAGAAACACAAAGACTTAAACTTCTATGACATGACAAAGAAACAATATTAAATGAGGACTTAGTGTACATCTTTAAACAAAAGCTGTATCACAACCCAATATAATATATTTACTATCATGTTAAATATGTTAATATTGCATAAGAATATTTAAAATATATAGGCAAATATGATGATTGAACAGTAACAATACTGAAAGTACATTAAATCGTGTTCAATAACAGTAGGTAAAAAAACAAAATAAATTGAACACAGATCCGTATCATCTTACAACCACGGGTACCTAAATAAGTAGATTAAGTGATTGCATAAAAATTCTTTAAAGCTCTAATACTCGACTAACTTAAACCAAACCACATGCCAGAATTAAATTAAAAAATATGAAAAAAAGTAAATTAACGGAAAGCAAGTAAAATAATTAACTGAATTGATGTTTGAATTCAACGATCGACAAGACTTATATGCAATATACATGAATCAATTAATTTGAAAAATACTCACAGGTAGTAGCTCTGCATGCACAACGCTTCATCTTCATCTCTTCTAAATTCAATAGAAATACATTGCTCGCACATTACGGCGTTTTGCTCGTAGCTGAAAATTCATAGATCCATCTCGTTTGAACCGTTCCAACCTGAACAAGAAACACATGGTTAAACCCGGCCCATACACAAAAACGATTAATAAATGCAAATCCATGCACTTCGGGTTGTCGATGTACTCACGTCGTGTGTTTTGTTCAGGTTTGATATTACTTCAACACGCGTTTATAATTAATAGTATGAATCGCAAAAAAATTAATTAAACACACACGCCGATGGGGTCGTATTCGTTCGTCACGTGTTTGGTAAACGCGAATGGCCTCTTAATAATGTATGTATATTGTATATTATAAAACGTTTGGCACCAGTCAAATATTGCGGTCAGTAGAAATTCGATTTAACAAAGATCGGCATTTTCGAGTGTGAAATAGTTATCGAATAATGAAAATACAGCACATGGTAAATGTCAAAAGTGACGAAAGAATAAATACATTAAATACTCACGAAATATTGTAACAAGTTAAACGGAAACCACAACAGTCAAATGATCGGATCGAAGTGGATAAAAACCTGTGGATTAAACGTAAAATGTGAAAACGTGATCCGAAGTATTAATCCGTCGTATTGATCCGTCATCCATTAGATACTTTTGGATACACGGTTTTCGAAACTCAATCAAGCGTTATAAACGATAGGAGAATAAAAAAAATAAAACAAATACAAAACAGTGACAGAGGTCCGGGGACGACAAAAACGGATTAAAGACTTGTAGTATTTGTTGCGCACTTGCGCTGTAAGAAGAAACGGTTAGGTTCGCAGCAAAGCAATAAAACTCAAAAGAAAGAAAAGGGAATTCGCGATGCGCAGAAGCCTCAACGGGAGACTAGGAGTGTGACCAACCGTCCGGATACACGATGGTCCTTGACAAATAATCTAAACTAGGGTTATAAACAGCTGGCTTATGGCGCTTAACTGGTGTCTGGTAACTGGTTAACCCTTACACAAGACGCGTTTTCATTTCTTCCATGTTCTCATTATCCCTGCCATGGCTAAATAACTATTTAGCCATTCTCCCTGCGAAATTATAATACAAGACTGCCCCAATCATGTTATCGATATAATGAAATTTTCTGACTGAAATCAAAATGGACACGAATAAAACGTCGAATTAAGAAAACGATTATCCACGAAGGGGTAGAAACCTAACCTTTTGGAATAACAACAAATATTCAAATTAAAAAAATTAAAGACTGTAAAAAATGTACAAGTTTGACGTCTGATATTAATGATAAATTGATAATGGTCGCAAGTTTTGATTTGTTCTTAGCCATGCCATTGGCATGTCACTGAATTATGGAATAAAAACAACCCCTGAGGGAGAAACTTCCAACAATGAACAAACAACGCCTTAAAAAATGCCGTAGGGCAAGCGGAGCACTTGATTTTGGGGCCCCACATTTTTTGCTTGCCCCGGGCCCCGAAAAAACCTTGCGCTGGCACTGTACTGTACTATACATAATATTAATCTCAGTATTTAGTAATATAAATGATAAATGTGCTACCTGAATAGGTGCATCCAATTATGCAACATTTGTAAGATGCTCTTCCCATACAAAAAATATTAAGCCAACACTACCTATAAACAATTAACAATTAAAACTCGGCATCTGTATTGATTGTGTAAAGTCAATAGTAATAGACAAAAATGTCGACTGGGTATGAAAAAACGTGTCGAAACAATAGACATCTGGGTAGCCTTGACTAAATCTACCAAATTGCCACGCGGTCAATCCGTCGCCATTTTGAGTTTTTACCCCACACGTTTTCATGCCATGTTAGGTTAGGTTAGATTACTGATTGAAATATTACAAATAATTATGGTAGCAGCGACATATCAAAATCCCACTTAAAACAACCGTAATAAAATACACCAATCGCTGATTAATAGAAGAAAACAAAACGAAACAGTGATCCTGAAATACCGCCCTTAAAAACCCCAAATTCAAAATGTCATCATGTTACATTCGGGGGTGTTTAACCATAATTAACGTCATACTTGATGATATACATAATTAAAAAAATTAAAGCCCGCTAAAAAGTCCCGAATCAACATTAATGATGCCATGTCGACGATCGTGAGTTCTGAATCTCCCTCCACCATGCATCCGGGTTGTCACCATTATTATCGATACTATACACGCGTTTTTCGAAAAGCAAACGACGACGAAATCGATAACAAAATTTATAAAACCAACAATACTCACAACATTGCAGGTAGCAGACAAAAATTACGGCTGCGGCGGTCTTGGATGTTCAGTGACACGTGCGTTGCCATTGTTCGCGGCCGAGTACCTACTATACTCGGTATACTCGTCAGATCGTGTATTGCGATGAATACCTACGGTTTTCAAGCGTTTCGCGAGTGAAATAATTACAAAAATTAAATACCCGCGAAACTTTGACACGATGTCGATGGAACAAAGAAAATTGAAAAAGGCGGATTGGGAGTCTGCACAAATCAGTCCGTCGAGCAAAAATGAAAATAGTGATCAGTAGTAGTTGCCCGTATACTGGAGGGCGGAATAACGCATCGTCCCGCATACCCGCGGACCCCGGACGCCCGTTTCCAGTGATGCGATTCATTCAAAACATCTTGCACATAGTTTGGCCAGCCTGCACGATCGTTATTGATGTATTTTATCCAAAACGGTCTTATATCAACGCGATCCCTGCCATGATGCGTTATAATTTCACCCTGGATTAAAAACCCCCAAATTCAAAATTTGGCGCCATAATAATTTTATGCATTGTCATTAAAATATTAAATACATATATTTCAATTAAAAATTTAATTTTACGACAGTTAACGTACCTATACAAAATATTAAATAATTATAAACAATATTATGGAATCATTCATAGGGTTGTTTATAATATGATCTACAGTAAACGAATTCAACAAAGAATTCTATTGTTCTGCAGAATAGTGGTATGCTATAATTTATATAAACGTTCTATAATTAAAAATAAAAATAGAAACATACCAATCTCACCATTAAATTATTTGGATAAGGTTGTAAAAGAAACTGAGGAATGTAACATGTTAACTTTTTCCTATTCATTCTAATAAAATCAATTTGTTTATTGAGAAAATAAATCTTCTACTAAGTGTATAATATATAGTATATTTATTCTATAGTGTTGGAGATAAAATTTGTTCCATAAAACGTTTTATTAACTTCTATTGCCTAAAGCCGAGATTTTTGTTAACACATAAATTAAATAACTAATTTTTTAAGATAATCTATGCATGCAGCATGCACATAAGAAAAATATATTTAGTGGTCTCAAAAAAATTATCTATTTTTTGGCGGATTGTCTCTTGAAGACCACCGACTGAAATACTAGAATTTATACAGGTATAAGATCATTGATCACCAACCAACTAAACGCTTTACTACTTTATTATACCCATTGGCTCACATACGAGGGTGTCATGGGTGCTTAGAACTGACAAATCTTAAATTAGCACCCATAGCTTATTTTTAAATAAAAATATTGTTTAAAGTGTAATTTTAAGTTTATAAGAACGAGTTTATTGAAATTATCCCAGTTTTAATAGGCAATGCACTAATGCTACGGACCACGGACGTACATACTTTACAACATGTAGGTAATATATATGTATACAGTTTTTGGTATTTTGGTTTATAATGTTAGAATATTAGTATGTTACCTATTTATAAAGCATGTATGTTACTTTATCGGGTTTTTCTAAAACAAGTTTATTTTTAGTATTTATTACTGGAATAAATAGGATTTTGTTTTTGTATACTATCTACCGGTATGATCGTTAATTGAAATTAAAATAATGAAATTAATTAATATTATCTAGTTTGATACAAACAGTTTATTAGTGCGATGTAAAATAGTGTATGTGATTAAGTAAATATAAATTTAATAAAACAAATGAAAAACAAAGACAATGAAAGTAGTGAAAATGTGGACGACCCTGATTGAATCTCGACTTCTTTACCGATAAATTTAATAATCGTTGTAATAATCGATTATATATTGGACAAAAAAGATTTATAATTTTATTTGATATTAAATTAATTTATGTCTGGAGTGTACAACCACATATAGGGTGTCTAGGGTCCCACGGGTCACTTAGAGGTAAAACATTTTAGCAAACCCAAGCTTAAGACTGAATGTGTGCCTATGGGTTATACATTTATACCTAGTTTTAGACTTTAGGGTTTCTATACTATTATTACTATGCACATAACTTATTATTACGATGATTATCATTACTCTGGTGGGTAATTACTAATTAATATTGTTATAAAAATAATTATAATATAAATAACTACGTTTCATTTTCGACATCAATTGTAATTTGATATTATTCTTAATTTATTATTTACTAATAGGTATTTATTTACTATTTTTTTTGTTATTGAGACATTTTATAAAAAAAAATAAAACCTATAATATTATATTAATAAAAATGAACGACGCTCAAAAGTCTAGTCTCTGCACATTAAAACATAACGGTCAAGACAAGAGCTCATTTGCATACACCCAATCACTGTTAATATTATGATAAGGATCAGTACTGTGTTTCGGAAGAAATCGTCTGGTATTCACCATGTCGTCCTGTTCATTCAGCGGCGTCGTTCGCTCTATTGTAAACGTTATTTATCTATCCATACGATCGACACGATGACTACTTACTAATTACAATCGATTTGAAAAACTGAAAAAATAAATAAATAAACACCGAGGACAATGACCAATTATAATATATAATATCGTACTTGTCTTGTATGCGTATGGTCGGAATTCTCATTTTTTTCTTCTTTTAGACGACTCAATTTGTTTTAACTCTATCCGATGCTGGTTTTTGATTCAGAGATAACCGCGCGTGAAACTGAGTAGTGAGTAGGTATCTACATATTACCTATGCGTTTATCGACAACAGTGGAAAATAATATTGTCTGATGCAAAAAACTGGTCTGTAAAAAAAGGAACCAAAAGAGAGATAGCCTCTACCAATTTTAATATTGTTTTTAAACACAATTTTTTTGTGATTACTGATTATACCTATAAGGCTATAAATGTACAAAATTAAAACTTGTAGACTACTTTATTAGTATTTTAATATTATATGATAGGTACATAGGACGTAAGTAGGTGGTATTGCAATATGTAGGTAGGTACCTATCTAATAAGAGTAAAATCTAATAGTAATTAGTAATCACTGATCACTGATCAGGTATTCTCTTCAATACCATTGATTTATGATTATAAATATTAATATAACTAGGTGACTATAGTGATTAATGCTTATTCACTACATATCTCAAATAAGATAAAAAAATAATTATTGAAAGTATAAAAATGCTTATGCAATTATTAGTAATTGTAATAATTAGGTAATAATATTTATAAGATGAGTCTATTACTATTTACTCCAATATTAATTTAATATTAGACATTGATTATTACAGATGTTGGTATTGATAAATGTAGCAGAGTAAATAAATAATGATGAAACTGACAAATACATGAATAATCTGCAGTCTGCTGGTTTTTCAAGTTTAAGGTGTATAATATAAGATTATATAATATTATATTATATTATTTTACATTAATATAGATCAGAATGAAATTGAATACAATTTTTCAAATTAAAAAAAAATATCAACTTTGTAATGCAATACTACCAAATAGTTATTTACTTACATTAATAGTACATACTCTATAGCCATTTACCAACAAACTATTTATTTTTTTCAATTAATTAAAAAAATAGTATGAAAATAAAACTGAGTTTGACTGAAAATTTTAAATACTCTAGGTGTACTCAAATAATGGAAAAGAATGCAATAAATTGTTCATAAATAAAAAGCCAGACATTCAAAAATTATGTGTTTAAAATTACAATTCGTCTTAGGAATAGTGATGACAGAAAGTAGATGCAGAAATAATTCATAGTTAAGTGTTAAATATGCACTTTCAGTCGATTGTGAGTGATCTTTTTCTTGCAAAATATGTGATAAAGTATCAGCATATAATAAATAATACTATAGATTGGCAATGTCAATACAATAATTTATTGCTCATTATTTTAATTTGTATTCGACTTACTTGTGATACATGGTAGCAGGAGACAGTAGATACTTATTAGTTATTTCCTACATCCACCTGCCACAATCCACCACTAGTAAGACTAAGTCCAAATTAAAATAATGAGTATACACTATTGCATTGGTGTGGCCTGTCTATAGTGTTGGACATTTTCTTAATTCATATTCTAGATTAGTGGTTCTTAAGCTGTGGTATGCATACCAACAGTGGTACACGGTAGACTATATGGCAGTGTGTGGAACTTGGTATAGTGAAAGTGAGGATAATAAATAAGTATTTTTACTAATGTTTGTAATGGATCTAATCTATTCTAATCTAATATTATTTTATGTTTTATGTAAATAGGTAATAGATATATTGTAAAATGTACCTAAATTATTATTTTTTTCACATTAAAAACTATATTAACATTTTGAATAATTCTATTTTTAACTATTAGCAGTACATGACTGATTCATAATATACACATTAATATACAAAAAACACAAGCATGAAAACCTCTGCTCTATATGTAATAAAAATATATCAATATGTATACACTAATTAAGTTATAAATCATAGACATATTTCAGAGAAAAGAGATTAACATTTGAGTACCTACAGAAATTGAGACATTTATAAATTCTTCTATACATCCAAACAAAATATTTATATAGTATGATATAACAATTAGTTTCACATTATTAAAAAAAAAATCGTATTTGAATTGTATTTGTTTTAATCAATATTTTTGACACTTTTGATACATATTGTATAATATAACATTTTTAATTTTGATTTTTAATACTGAAAAACAAAATTTTAAATCTGTTGTACATTGAAAAATTCAAAATAGTCAATTTGTAAACTTGGTTTTTAGAAAAACGTTAATTGCAAAAAGCATTTATTAAAGTCAAGTAAATTGTTTACAATTTTTTGATATCCTATTATTTTTGTTAAATTAAGTTGATAGGTGTAAAAAACATTTTAAATTAGAAATGTATGGACTTTTTAAAAATATTTTATAAGAAAATTTAAGTAGATACTTGTTAAAATCTTTTTTTTTTTAAGTTATTATTTTTCAAATTAATAAGTTACTTAAAAAAATTTTAACATTTTAAAAAACTATAAAAAAAAACAAATGACTTAGATGAATGTGTCTACAGTTAAAAGTTTTCTAAGAACCAGGTTTACAAACTGGCTATTTTGAATTTTTCAGTATGAAAAAATAAAATAAATAATATTATTATACAAAATATGTAGAGCAAACATCAATAAATTATACATAGAAAACTTTTTTTTAATATTGATCAGAACAAAAGTTATTTAATTTGTCAGGTTTTTCTATTACACCATGTATATAAATTTAAAAAATACATAAAATAAGCTAATATATTTTCATTAGTTTGGTTTATAGATATAGTTGAATACATATAGATAGATAATATATTATGTAATATAGATTATCATTACCTATTGGTTATTATTGATTGGTGGGTTTGTATATATTGTAACATTTTGGGACCTAAGTGCTCTCAATCATAATACTCAAAAAGATATTGACAATAATGACTGTTTTCAATTGCATTCCTACCCATTACGAACAAAGTTTGTAACTAATTGTTGTGGGGTACTATATATGGCTCTCTTTCCCCAAAAACATATTTATGATTCATAGAATTTCTTGCAGAGAAAAAATAGCAAGTAGCATGCTATGTTTTTATTATTTATCAAGTTGAACCGCAACTAAGGAGAAAACCACGATATAATAACTTCTATGATTACCTAGTCTTGAAGAGAGTTGGCCTGGCTTATAATTAGTCCTCGTACACAATTACTGTAATTTGGCCCCTGTAAAGGTATACAATATATTATATTAGAATTTAAAAATTGTAATTTAAAAGAAAAAGACATACAAGAAAAAGTGAACCAGTCCCTCAAAATAATCTCAACAAATATTGTCGGCATTCATAGCTCTCCACCAGAAATATTCTATACAACCATATAGGGCAGTGATGTGGTCTACAGGGTCTAAAGGAGTGGCTGCGCTCCTCCAAACTTTTAGTGGGTGAATATGGGTATTAATATTTAGCACACTCATGTAGATATACCATAGAAGTAATGAAGTACTAATATAAAAAAAGGCAAATTGGTATCGCTCTGCAACTCTGCCATTCATTAAATGTCATGTGGGTCGTTATAACGGATGTGTTCAATTTAAATTTAAAATATTAAAAAATTAGAATTAAAGTACAAAATATAAAATTTTTATAAGTCAAAAATTATTCTGAATGAAAACGGTCTGCCTATATTGCTAAGTAAATTTTATATTATTGCTATTAAAGTAGGATAGACTAATTTAGGTTAAATTAATTTTGTCGAAAACATTTCATTTGTTCTACCTACTTTGTAAGTTTCATGTATCCATGAATATTTTTTAAACACAACAAAATAACTAAAATCATTATTCTTTGTTTAAATATCTAGTTTTGTACAGATTTGAACTTAAGATGTCTTTTTTTTTTTTATTAAAATAATTTTTTATAATATAAATAAATTTACAATCTAATAAAAACTTAAAATGTCTATAAAAAAAAACTGTGTGAATATATTTTTAGAGATTTTGGCCACAATAGTAACTACTTATGGAAAACCTTGTTTAAAATGTTCAAACTTTAGGTATACAAATTGTACAATTTTAACTACAAAATAATTTGAAATTATTCGTGATTTTGATGAATTTTGTCAAAATATTTACTATAAATGTTACAAAAAAATTGTACTAGTATGTTTTTAATACTTTTGCATTGCATTAATTTTCTAACTTTTTGACCCAGCAAAAATATTTTTCATCAACAATAATTTAAAACATATTAATTAAAATTAAACATTTTTCATGGTTTTGAATTGCTCAAAAAGTGTCGAATTATTTTGAAAATGTTGTCTTATATTAATATTAACATTTGACACAAATTTCAAGTTTTTGAATAACAACTTAACATCAAAATTGGTTTTAATTTCCTAATTAACCTATTAAAACCTTTGCAGAACTTTGTATTACATTTTCAAGTTTTTTGACCCAGCAAAAATTTTTTTATTGAGAATAATTAAAATAAAATTAATAAAAATCAAAAATGTCTTATGGCTATCAAAAATAATAAAATTATTTTGAACATTAAAGGGCATATGGGAAATACCAATATTAAAATTTGGGTAGACTAAAATCGTTGTGCCTTGTATTATAATAATTCCCCATACCATTTATTTAAGATAAAGGAAATGTAATTTTAATATACATACTTATACATACATATAATAGATGTTATACATAGGTTGTGAATCTGAAGTTGTTCCACGCGTTTATTTTGCTGTTTTCAAAATAAATGTATACCACAAGCTTTCCAATATTTGGGTATTTGTCAGCCAAATGTTCTCTAGTTTACATCATCTGAGGAGTATGAATGTAATTGATACCTAAAACCAATAAAGATTAAGAAGGTAGATCTATAATATACTTAAAATATGATTATTTTTGAAGTATTAAGAAAGTTAATGAATAGATTATTATTTACTATAGAATCTTTGTTTTAAAGAATTTGAAATTTTTTTGGGTAGAATCCATACTACATTTCTAATACTTTTTTGGTCTAATGCATACCTACTAAAGAACAGCCTTATTTATTATTTAACAAAACAAAACTGTAACTGTTATTAAGTTAATTTTACTATCTTCCAATATGTGGTTCATCGTCGTTTTGTGAACTACTTAACTAAAAATTTGAATATAGTGTATGTGGGGCCACAGGGGTTAATGTAACACAATTCTAATTCTGATCACCTTTAAGCATTTTTATTACAACTAAGCTGCACATATTTGTGTACAATTGTTAGCCTCAGTTTTTCACAAATTATCTATCCTTTGAGTATGTGCATTAAATATTATCACTGTAATTGAGTGGTAGAGTGTGTACAAAAGATATTACATTATGATTACATATAAGATTATATGCTAAAAAATATCCTCTTCAAAAAAAAATGATGTTTTTGAGGTATTAGATTTATTAAATATCAAAGAAGACTTTTCTAACAAAACGTGTATAAAAAATATATTTATTACTATATATATGTTGTCATCGACATAAACCACTTGCAAAATAGTATTTTCTAAGCTAAATTCCTTAAAAATGTACAACCAAACTTGGTTCGAAATTTAATCAATGTCAGCTAAAACTATTAAAAAAAACCATTGTAGAAAAATGCGTGGTAATTGGCAGTCAAGAATTTATTGAAACAATAATGGGAAGAAAATTCTTCAAATCAATGTTTAAAAACGCTCATATAAGAAATATCCTATGAAGAGTAATATATTTAATAGTTTAATTCTTATGATATTAATACTATGCACTTAATAACCATTTTAAGAATTATTATCCTTAGTATCAACGTTTAATAACCAAAGCCGGGCACAATCAGTAAGAAAGTTAAAGATAAGTTAGTTTTAATTTATATTAACTTTGTAACCTAACTAGTTGAATTCAATGTGTAAAAATAATCTAATATAACTAGTTATAAGTAATGAGTACCTAACTAGATATTTTTGTAGTTTTTTTTTTTCCATTTCAAAAATTTAAATGTTTAGTAAAACTACTGAGTATCGACTATTACTACTATATTTTATAGCCATGATCATAATTTATTAATAGGTAATGAATATTGAGTATTTTCAATTTTATGACGAAGACATTTTTCTTGTCATGTTATTTTTTATCAATTACCTATTAATATTAGTTATAACTAATCATAATATATGACACATGTTAACAACGATTCACGATGCCTTTAATTATATATACACGAATATACTAGTATCATACTGTCTGTATATTATTTTTTTATATTGTTATTGATTCTACGTTCTAATAACTGATATTCTAATAAATTTCAAGAAATATATTATATTAGTTATTATTTATTACCTACCTACTTGAAAGTTGAATCATTTGATCAAATTATCAGTTGTTCAATATAATTTTTTTACTGTCACCAATAAATTAAGTTATAGACACAGAGACACCGAGTAATTAATTTATGTAACATTGTAATACTTAACATAATTTGAACAAACTGTTTTTAAATTTATATTTTAAGCTATAAAAAGAAACTAACTTTTACCAACTTATACTCTTAACTATTTTCACCAAAATAACTTCTAACTAAGTTAGTTTTTAAGAAACTGAACTTTAACTAGTTGAAAAAAATTTTGACCACCTTTATTAATAACCTCATTAGAATTTTGATTAAGATACATCAAAATGTTCAAAAAAATTATCTAATAAATAATTTTTAGTAAAAAAAGGGAGGTTCTCATTTGAAAAATAGAAGTTTTTATCTCCACAGAAACACTCCACTAAGTAGGAAGTACAGAAAATATAGGGAATTTGAAAATATGGTTTCTAGTGGATATATTAAATAAACCCGAAAATTCTAAAATTCTGAATTAAAATACATGTACTATTAAAGAGAAAAACATGGGCAAGCATGATTAAATAATCACTGTGTTTATCAAAATGTAAGTCCAGCAGTTACAATTTAATATTTTACATACTCATAACTCACTTAAAAATTAATATATCGAAAAAAAAACGAATGAGAAAAAAATTATATTTGTAACATTTAAACTTAATAATGTATCAATTCACTCTAATATTTAACCTAAATATACAACATTGAAACTTAAATTTTGGTACATTATGCTTAAGTAAGAGGAAGACAACATAATATGTGAGCACAAATACCTCTTAATATACAATATACCATTAAATTAAAAAACTGATAGATATTTTATTAAATTAATTCAATTTAAAACATGGAAATCGCCTAAAATAAAATTGAATAAATTGGTAGGTAATGAAATATAATTTATACATATATTATATATATAATTATATGATATTGTTCCAGTTATTTTATTTATATATAGTGGACTTACCCAAAAATTAATACGTAAGATAACTTAGTTTATAAGTAAGATGATATTCAGCTATAATAGTATGTTTTATTTTCATGAAATATTACTCCTTTGGAATGTCTCCATTTAACTTGAAATAACATAGATGACACATCTACAAAAATATTTAATTAGAAACGTAAAAATTAAAATTTATTTACTCACTCACTCTATATGTAACAAGACTTACAGATTCAATTAGATTGTTTACAATGTCAGAAATAAAAGGATCATTCATCAACTGTATTCACAAAAAAAATGTTTGTCATTTTGATATCAAAATTATGTAACAAACTACAAATAAATAATGACAAAAACACATTATAATTATTTCAATAATAAAAATAACAATTTATAAAACATATATGCACTTACCCGAATCTAATAATTCAGCTTTATAGAAGTCGACTATTTATAATTCTATGCAAATTTAATTTGTTTGATTAGGCGAGAATTGACCTATTGAAACTTGAAACTATTGCTATCCATTTGACCCTATAGAAAAAAATATATTAAAATTATGACATATGATACCGGTAGACAGTAGTGGGCATTTAACTCTCATCATTTTATATTTAATTTAATATAATAATATTTAATACTTATGCTTATACTAATATACTTCTTTAGTATGCTACTAATGAGTTATGGATCAATACAGTTGTAACAACAAAATCAAAACCAGGCGTTTAAGTATAAAAACTTATTATTATTAAATTAAATTAAATATTAGTCATATTTAATGAAATATACCTACCAAAGTTTTCAGACTACATTCACGGTGGTCGATTGTTTTATGATGGAAATTTACATATTTGATTGGAGAACTTATTGAGTTGTCAAGGCATTGATCATTTGAACTGCCTATTTGAAGGCCTTTAAATAACATTGTAAATGCTTGGATAATAAAAAAATTGAATAAGATATTTGAACTTATTATTTCACATTCTGCAATTTTTAAATAACAATTATTCATGCATTCCCAAATGCTGTAGCATTGTAAGCTCTCCTCATACTGATACACAAGCACCTGTCTCTTACTTGCAACTCACTACCTACCTAAACTGAGTAAAAATATATACTTATAAGCAACTTGTCCACTTCGTATATTATCAATTATCTTACAAAAAAATTGTACGGGTATTAAAAACGTATGAAATAGTTTACCTTAATCTTAATATTATTAAAATAAATACTAAGTGTCTAAATGTAAAAACATAATAATATTTCCAAAAAGACCATTTTCAGTGAATGCAATTGGTCAACAAGTGCAAAACGTAACACTTTACTTATGTTCCGATTTGTTGACGGGATTCGTTGTGTAGTAGCTGTAAATAATAATTAATTAATTTGGCTCAAATAATACCATAGTCCATAATTATGTAAGTCAGCAGAGTTGACGAAAAACGGTCGTCTTGTGTACTTTTAACGATTGTCGCGTGACCTGTTGAAGCAGTGAGACATGCAACACAGACCACCACGCGCATTATTGTTATGATATTATTTAAAATGCTGTGATAAATGATAATATCGTTGACATTTGTTGTGAATTTTGTCATTTTGATACTAAATGGTCATCGAGTGGCTGGGGTGTTGCACGTGAACCGATGTTGGCAATATTGAAGTATAGGAATTCCGATTATCGAAGTATAGGTTACAGAATTGATGTACCTATCTGTTCCATTGTTTATTTTGCGGCCAAAACCAATATAGTTGAATGGGTTAAAAAAATGTGCCTTTGCTTATCATCTCCTCACTAAAGAATGACATTCTAGATTGGACACGAATAAATTTATTGGAATTTTTGAGATGCTACAATAGTACAATGTGAATATGTTTATTTTATAATTATTTTTTATATACTAGAATATACAGGCAGTATGTCAACATGTTGACATATAGATGGCGCCATCGCATCAGGAGCCTATAATATTGTACAATACCATAAACCAACGCTCCTCCCTGAACACTAAACTAAAAAAAAAAACAATAGAATTATTGTCGTAACTGAATTGTTCTATAATTAGAACATTAACGACACAGTGCAGATCACAAAACTTATAATGCTTGCAGAGGAGCAACAAAACGGAATAGAAAATTCAAAAATATTTTGGTTTCTGAACATGCGATGTCTTTTTTAAAAACTGATAGGTATCTAGAAATAATAATTTTTTTTTTAACCATGTATTGATGATATGCCTAATATCATTTTTGTAACTTTTTATATTTATCTTTTATGTAGACAAATTATACTATTTTGTTAGTTATTTCTATTACCCTCTAAATGTTTTAGATGATTTGAATATGTCTATTGTTTATTTGTATGCATTTAAATATACGTTGTATTGTATACATATAACACCTATACGGCTATACTGACTTTAATCATTAGTCCTAAAAACATAAGTTATGTGAGAGATTTCCTAATGAGAGGCCCAAAATGATAATTATTTAATGTACTTTTTTTAAATTTTTATTATGGTATCGAGGACTGGAGGAGGAACTATGGTGCCAGTACTTCTCCTTCAGCCCCCATGGTTTATTGTCAAAAACAAAAACATACAACAATTTACAACGGCGGGCCAATCCCCCACTCACTGCTATTACAAACAAAATTTTTCTATATGTATAATAAAACGGCGGACTATATGTATAATAAATAAAACGGCTCTCCCTAATTTTATTGTCTTAAGCTACAAATCAATTTTCGGCTAACAATGTTCTATGCTGAATTCCGTCGGTTCACTGCAGCCTGTCTCACTCGTTCTTCTTCTTCTTTGACCGAAAGGATGTTTTCCACCATGCCGTAGAACAGCCTGAATCGCTCTTCGGCTTCTCTCAGGATCACATACTTCCCGTGAGCGTCCGCCGGCAGGAGCTCGAACGCCGGTCCGCAGATGATGTCCGGAACGTCGTCAGCGCTCGGTCGATGGCCAATCCTGGCGCTCAGGGCTTCACGAAGGCCATCCCAAAGGGGGCAATCGAACAGCGTGTGTTCGACGGTGTCCGATTCGCCCGAACACTGCCAGCAACGAGGGCTGGCGGCCCTGTTCATGCGATGGAGGTACCACTCGAAATAGCCGTGGCCCGTGAGTGCCTGTGTCATGTGGAACGTCAGAGGCACCCACGGGACAGTCCTTCCTAGCCATCTTGCCAGGTCAGGGATGACGCGGCGCGTCCAGGCCGCCTTCGGGGTGGCAAGCCATCTTGTCTGCCAGGCGACGATCGTGGCTTTTCTTGCCTCAAGTTTCACGGCCGCTTTAGAAGGCCGTTGTTCGCCGGGCTCCATAGCGGCGCGCAGTCGGGATCCGACGTACTGTCTCTCCAAGCAGATCAACGGGCGGCATACAGGCCAAAACCCGGGCGGCCTCGTCCGACACGGTGCGGTAGGACCGGATTACCCTCAAGGCGGCGGTCCTCTGCGGATGGATCAAGATCGCCCTGGTTCTGGCGACTCCTGTAACGGAAGGGATCCAGACGGGAGCAGCGTACAATAACTGGCTTTCCACAACAGACGCAATTATTTAATGTACAGAGTGCGATCGGAATAATAGGTATTTTCCTAAGAAGAAAGGTCATATTTCTTACGTAGGTAATCCGAATGCATCCCAATTACTTTCTGACCCCAGCTGTGGCCTGTGCATCGAGGAGGCCCCAGATTAACAGATACATTATACAACAATTTATACCCAAACAAATACATAAAAAAAACTATCATATCATTTAATTATTGAATAAGGTTAGCTCAAACATAGCTCAGCAAATACCTATGTAAAATCATATTTGAACATTACCGTGGGTGTTGAAAGAATCAACGATCTTACTAATGTTATGAAAGAAGAAGTCAACTATTCAAAGTATTTCAAACATAAAATACAAATGTACATACTTTGTTGTCTTCGTCTTACCAGTTCATAACATGGCAAGTGTTAAGGTCAGCAGATCACACTTACCTCTGTTAGTTTAAATATTAGAGTGAATTGACCTCTTATAAAATATGAAGGTAAGATGATTCCCTAGTGCATTTCATTGGATTTTTATTATATTTTAAAACTTTAAAATAGCTTACGATTTTAAAATACTCATAACTCACTTTAAAATTAGAATATAATAAAAATCCTTTCCTAAAATAACCTAAGACGGAGACAACAAATGTCGGTGTAACGTAATCTTCAAAATCGCCAGTATCAGTTTTTTAAAAATATTATATTTTATTTATACTATTTTGATTTCACAAAAGTTATAAATATAAAATATACATTTGTTTTATATATATTAATATTGTATTATTATACATTAGTAATTAAATTATAAAAGTAAATATTATTATTACTTTTTTTTTACTGCATTAAATAAATTCGTCTTCTCCAAGCAACCTATTTATTGATTTGTCACAAGTAGCTAATCAATTGTTTACTATCATTTAATTTTTATATTACTTTTTACTATTTATGTTGATATTTATCCATAATTCACGCAAACAATTAAAAGTGGGATAATACAATACGAGTATATGTCTTTTCTTATATTATAGTGTGGTAAAATTTCAAATTGGCCTTCTTGAGGACACATGTAAACTCTGCCAGAAAAAAAACAGATAACATTTGGTTCATGGAAACTCTACCAGTAAAACCAATCAAGTGAAAATCAAGTCATAATATAAAATTAATACAATGGACAGATATCATGTACATTGCTCTAATATCCCAAAAAATATACAAAAATTAATAAATATAATAACTGTCAGAACAAATCATGCAAATTAACATTTGTAGGTATTAATGTATTATCATAATAAATAATTTTAATAATCATAAAATATGTATCTAGCAACTTAGGTATGTTATGTTATGTTATAAATGTGAAACTGTGAACTCAAATGATGAGATAAAATTTGCAGACATTTTGACATCTCAGTCTAATATAAATCCATTATCAAAACTATTTATAACGTTCTCTAACACTATCATATTGGATTTTTGAGCTTCTTTAGTTGAGATATATTATTAAGTTTTACATAAGCACTGATGGAGGTTCTAAATATCCATTAGGTATAGGTAAGAAAATAAAAAAGGTGGAGTTTACATTAGACCATTTTATTACCTTTTTATTTAACCGGTATTCTGGCAGAGTTTTCAATCGCCCCTTCTTGAAACCTTACACACCTGAAAAACTCTGAGATTACTCCCCTGTAAGGTAGGTACAGGCTGATACAGGTGTACATAATATACACCTGAATACAACTGTTGTGAGTTGGGACTTGTAATTCACAAATATAATATTTTGAAGCCGGAATAATGGATAAGGTAATAAGAACATATAAAAAATAATAGGTACAACTTACAACTATGATACCTTTTACATCAGACTTATTAGAGTATAGGTAGATGGTATTGTCCGAGTTGCGGTCGCAATAGACGAATTGCGGTCTTAATAATATTGAAGCTTAAATTAACGTCTTAATTGCGGTCAGTATCCGGTTATCGATTATCCGATGCTCTTATCCGATTTTCACGCCAATAATTTCACGATCTAACGGTGAAGCAGTATTTTGTACCTATATCAGTATCCCTTTTTAGCAAAATTTTGTAATTTATTATTTTCACGTATAATTACACCAATTATTATGATACGAGGCGCCAGCTTTATCCACAATGTTATCGTACGTCAACGTAAGTCAACGTTATATCGTTTAGTCTATTGCAAGACGTTTTTGTATCAACACGTTAAAATGCCACAACTATCTGCAATGTATAGTGAAAAAGGGAAAATTTTGCTTGTATTAAATAATTTTAAATTTAGAGAGTACCGTCTTCTTAAGACAGGAGAAATGTCTTGGAGTTGCACTAATAAAAATTGTGAAATGTGCATCATACAAATATGAGTAACTAACACAACTAACTATAAATTTGTATTTTGACGTAACGTATTTTGATCGTTTAATTTTTGTATTTAGCATAATAATATGTAACTTTGTCAATATTTAAAACATAATAATTATTAATCATATTTTTTTACCGCAACTAGGATTTTTACTTATTTTGATATTTTACCTGTTTTGATCCCGACCGCAACTCGGATTTTTTTTTTTACCTATTATAATCTCAACCGCAACTCGGTATCAACCAGGTAGATAGATAGGTAAATAGGTAAAAGAAATTAGCCAATAAGTACCAATACCATAGTATATACTATATAATATATTATATCCATCATTACACTTATAATTTTATTATACGTAAAATCGAACTTTTTGAAAATGTATATTGGTCGCTTAAAAATCCTAGAATAGCCCCAGATCGATCTGTTTTAGTGTAATAACACTTAATAACTGACAAGTATTATAATTTATTAAACACGACGGACGTTCAAAATTAGAACGGCGGCATATTATATTATTTCCGTTACTTCCGGTTTACCCACACGAAACCAAATTTAATTCATCCGCTCCTTGCAACGATATGACCCAAAGGCATCCACGCTGATCACTTGAAAATAGCTACCTTCTGTTTTAATCACCTTGTGCAGTTTTCTAACGCCCTGACCATCACTTGGACATCCGGAGAACTTCGGAGACTTGCGAATGCCGATTGAAGTATGAGGTTTGAAGCATTTCATCATTCTTTTATTTTTGATTACAAAACTAGGGGATACCTGTATAAAATATAAAACAGTGCAAACAAAAATGTATAATTATTATTATTATTTTATACTCTGAGCAATTATATTGGTTTTACAATAAATTTTAGCCACCCACTCAAATCTCACACTCAAATTCCAACCATATAGTATGTGTAAAGAAAAAACATGCTTTTAGAGCATACCTTTTAACTAATAAAATCCGTTTTGTAATAATTTAGAGTGGTAAACTTTGTCACGGTAACGAAACAATTACAACAGCATTATCAACTCTTTACAATACATTTTTAGATAATTATCTTAATCCGTTTAATATGATAAAATAAAAATATTATACTTTTCTTTAAGAAACTAAATTTATTTATAATTTAATCTTTATAAAGTCAGTTACATGACATATTATAAGTTATAATTCTTGATGTTGAATCTTTATATATAAAATAAACTAATATTATAGTCTCAAAATATTATAATTTACATTTGAATATTTATGATTAAAAAAATATATATATTATAATTATTATAATAATTTTATTATTCGGGATACTTATTATTTAATCAATTCAAGAAATAACTATAAAATATTAAATTATTATAATAATTAATAAGTTATTAATAACTAACAAAGCGTAAGTATTTAAGTAAATATAATTTTTGTAATCATTTACATTTTGGATAATTATTTTTATAATCAAAATTATTTTTTTATTAAATTTCATTATTATCGACTATCTTATACATATATTATGGTAAATGGACATTTTTGATGCATAAATTTCTCCCTCTACCCATAACTACTTTTAAAAGTTTATTATTTAATAAAATTATATTATACTTACTATTTAATATGAAATTATTTATTTTTCGTTAAGGTAATGTCTAATGTTGTCTAAAGACAGACATCCAAATATTTTATTTAGAAAATCTTTTAACTATTAGTTATGTATTTTTATTTGAAATTATATATTACTCAATTTTTTTTTTAAAAATTACTTTTTATTGTGTCAAATATATATTATGTATTATCATATACTTAATATATAATACTTGTATTAAACATTACTAATTTTTTTTTTTTTTTTATAATAGCAATTTGTACTGTTTCAAGTAGACCATGATAAAAAATACAAATACTTAAATACCTACATCTATAATTTATTATATTTGTGAAAATATTTGAAAATTCATTCTGTATTCAGATAAAATTAGACAAGAGGCAAAAAAAAAATTTGACTTAAATAGTTAACTTTCAAGTAAGTATGGGGGAAATGTACCATCAAAAAATGTATCAGGGTAAGATGTTCTACTACACCGAAAACAGACAGGGGGAGAGGGTTTCCTTGATTCATATATTATTAAATTATCGTTTACAAAAACACTAAATAACCAAAGGCAACCTATTTCATATAATAATTTTATTTTTCACTCATAACTCATAAAATAAGATTTTCTCTGGTAATCGTTATTGAACAGAAATTTAGAATTATAATTTAATATTAAATTTATAAATTATTTTTATATTATATTTTTATTTGTCACGACCGTCTGCCTTACAGTAACAAATATGGAATAAGTCTACCGGAAGTTCTTATCGACAGAGTAAGGTATATACTATATGTATATACTCACTCCTATATTCAACTGCTGCCGATATAAATGTATAATATATTACAATCGATGTGCGGAGTAGCGCGTAGTGGTCTGGAGACGGTTAAATTTATGACGATATAACCTGAACAATTATTTATGTCTGAAATATATGCATTAATAACGTCAGCTGTTATTGAGTGATAATTTTCTATGTACAAAACATATTTTTAGTTCAAACCGAAAACATTTTTCTGGCGATTATATAAAGATATTATATTATAATATTATTCCCAATGTAAATATATTTATATTATATATATATATATATATATATTTAAATAACTAAATTATATAACCTAATTACAATATTTGTAATAATTCTTGTTCATAATGGCAACAAGCAACTATATTGACCTAAATCGTTTAATTCGTTTACCAACCAATAAATATTTCTAATTTTTTTAAACTTGAAGAAATATAATATTTTTTTAAAATTTTATATAAAAATAAAAATAATTTTGTTTTTTTAAATATTATTTTATTTTTTAAATCCAAATGGCAAACACTAAATGTCTGATAATTGTGTTATCGTTACGTTAGCCATCAATATCGTGACTCACGAGCTATCATATTATTAAGGTAAACTTCACCTGGATACTTTTATTGCACAACAATTTTCGGTGACTTAAATCTTTTTTACAAAAATCAGACATCAGTTTTTTCTCTGTCATTACATTGACCACTTTATCAATGGCAATCTGAATCCATTTATTCTTATACATTGTATCTACTCGCCCATCCAAAGAATCAATCCGACGAACTACAGTTTTTAACCATGACATGGTAAAGACGCCATCATTCTGTAATGCCCATCGACTGATATGATTAATAATGTTTGAATCAGTAATGACCTACAGAAAATATAAAAATAATGCCCACTATAAATAAGCAATAGGTAGTATATTATATTATAAAATTAATCATAAAATGTTATTGTCCCTATAATAAATCATTATATTACATTAAAATAGATTAATATAGTAGGTAGGTATATTGAATAGTATAATATATAAATATCCATAAAAGAGAGTCTTTATGTAAGAGACAAGTCTTAAAAGTGGTGCGCCCATATGCTGCGATTACGCAAAAAAATACATATTTTTATGGATATTTGATAATTAATAAAATTTAAGTTTTCGAAAAACACAATTCATAGACTAAAAAAAAAGACTATTTAAAAAAGTTTTAATTTATTTTTCAACATTTTGCATAACAATATTATTATCCACAACAATTTAAATAATATGTATAGGTTATCAAATTTGGAATCTTTTAAGATTAAGATCTTAACTTTAAATAATGATTACCTAGGTAATATAACTTAAATTCAAATTTGAATGCAAAATTTTAAAATTTTTCAAGATGAATCATTTTAAAATCAAACAAATATCTAATATCTCATAAAAAATACATTAAAAAAGTAAAATTAATTTTAAAAACAAGTACCTATCAAGATACTAGCGTAGGAGATCAGCGTTTAAATTAAACATAAAAAAAATAATGGTGAAGTACTGACTGGAGAAACATTTTTTTCTGTATTTATAATTTTTACAATCTGTAATATTATAGTTTTGGATATACGTAAAATTTAAGATTCATAATTTCGGCCATTGCCCATTGATAATACCGCTGTGTATTGTGTATATATACCTATAATGTGTAGTCTATTTAATTAAAATAGAAAAAACTAATTAAAATAACTTTATTATGCATTTATACCTCAAGTCCAACGTAGCCATTTTTCTCGTTTATTACTTGTTCATTATATTTATTGTTATTTAATGACTCTATATTTTGCTGCAAATTCAGTCCTTTTAATTTTTCCTTTTCAGCATAATATTTTGCACTATTTATTTTCATTTGTTTTTGCTTTAATTTTTCTTCATTTGCTTTCTTTTTTAACGATTTTTCTGCTAACATTTTGCTTAACTCTTTAGCACGAAGATCCTTCTCTATATTCTCCAAGTCTCGTTTCCTTATAAGTTCTTCAAGTCTTAGTTTTTTTTCTCTTTCAGCTTCTGCTTTATGTAATAAAACCATTTTAGCTAATCTTTTTTTCCGTTCATTTTCCTTCAGCATTTTAGCCAATTCGGCCCTTTCATGTATTGATTTTGACATTAGTGATTCAGCAAGTTTTTGATTTTGATTTATTTTATCTGTAGTATTTAAAACTACTTTAGATTTTTTGGGTGATTTAAAGCTAGTAGCCGATCGTTTATTCTTCGTCCATAGAAATTCTCCGTTTATGACATAAATGGAGTCAGTTTTATTTTTCACTTTATACAATACGTCTACCTCAATACCCTTCCGTTGTAACTGCAATGCGTCATCATAAGCAAAGCGATGATTGTAAGTCCCTTTCCCTGGAAGTTCTGGACACAGCACGGTGCGCTTCTTTTTTTGTATTTCTCTATTAAAACCAAAACTACACATAGAATATTTCAGTAATGATTTGTTTTTATTATTTTTATTTTTATTTACGTATGCTTTATATTTAGTTGAGCTTTGATCAAATTGTCCACTACTTTTATACGTAGATTTGAATTTGGCTCTTAACTTTTGTTGAACATCTTTATACTTAGAAAATTTTCGACTAAAAATTTTTGATGGCATTTTTAACATTTTTTTTTCAGCTTTCACAATGTCTGGACACTGAAATTTTTCATGAATTTTTATTTTGTGTTTCACTATCTTGTTAGCTCTGATTCTTTTTGACAAATCAACTGGTTTATAGTTACAATATTTTTCGTTTTCACCGGCTTCATAATTATTAATTTTATTTTTAACGTTTACTACAGACATTTTAGTTTTTAATAATCGAATTTTATCTTTTTTACTTTTAGTTTTTAGTAATTTTAACTGTTTGCAACTATTTATACATTTCAATAGTGATTCTCTTATCATACGTTTTGGTCCCATAACTTTTGTTGGTTTCATTATAAGAAAACCCGTGTGTTTTTAACAAATATTTTTTGACAGTGAATTTTTCTAAAACAAATTAAATTAAAACTAAACATTTTTTGAGTTATAAATAAATTACGAATGTATTAAATTAAAACAAATAGATAATATACTTACAAATTACAAAATAAAATTACAAAAAGCAAGTATCTACTACCTATATTTATTGAGCTTACTTTATTTAATAAATGCGGGGTTCAATTACTATGACAATTAATTATAAGTAATAGATTCTACGGAGTGATTCATTTAACAATCAACAATCATTATATTATAATTGTCGTTCTTTGTATGTAAATAATTGCATAAATCAATATTATTCATGAAAATATACAAAAAAAATATTGACGTAATAATGACTTCCTTACAATGATAACATGATTTTATAATGTAATGTGTTTAAAATATTATTTAGATATAGCCAGTATAGGATTTACTGCAAAATAAAAATAGGTATGAAATTTGACAACAGTTTTATCCGCCCACATCCAATTGTTTTCTATGTGCTGTCTTAAGTTAGTGGTACGGGGTGTAGACGGTCACCCGCAGTGATAACCGGACTCGAAACAATGTGATTGCGACCTCGTTCATTGCTCGTGTTATTAAAATATGAAATTTATCAACAATAAAACAATGTCGACAGTCAGCATTTTTCACGCCACAGTTTTTTTACTCCCGCAACATTAGTTTATGATGATAAGATGAAAATAAATATTCCAACAACATCGATGTATAAGTATAATTGGAAATAAGTGCATCGTGGCATCAGCAATAAACCGACGTTCTTATAACCATCACATATTCACAAAAAATTCACAATCGTAAAATCGGCTCAACGTCGTTATAAGAATTGCTTTATGTGAACTCGTTATGAGAATTGGAAAATAATTAAATTCTATAGGTACTTACTAACCACTATAGAGGGAAGACAAAAAAAATGACATTCTCTGATGCACGCGTGACAGACAATTATTACTGAAATATAATATAATATGTGCAACTATCTACTTTATTTAGTAATTATAGGTAGGTACACAAGTCAATATACTTGTGCACTAGGAAATGTCAATAAATACCATTAGGAAAAACCTATTAAGTACTTACTCATGCAAATATTTTACGCCAAAGTTGTCAGTGAGACATAATGTAATTAAAATATTACGAAGATGTCAATAACAAATATAAAATACGTCTTATAAGTTATAAGTATAACTTTGAACTTATGCTAAATGGTAAATAACCTTTCAAACTGCGATTATTTCTAGGAAATAATTTTTATGATTTAATTTTAAGTAATACAATTTATCCACCCATTTTCGATGCCATTTTTTTAACAAAAATAAAAATCTTGCCAATCACTTTTTTAATTACTGCTATAGCTTGTAATGAATAACGATTATTACTTTTTAATTTCAATATTTTTATATACATCCAATAATAGTGACAAACCAACGAAAATCACTCATAATATTAAAAACTATAAAAAGATAACACATCAACCGACATCACGATACTACTATCGTCGGCATTAATTTAATTAGTGGTAGGTACCTACATGGCCATATCCATTGAATTTGTCTACGGACCTTCGTAAGTAGGTATAATAACATACCAGTTGACAATCCGTTGGCAATCTTCTCGGAGACCGAGCCCGAGTAGATGAATAAACGTGAAATTAATATAATAACGAGTAACGATGTAAATATTAGGTGTTGAATACAAAGCTCGTCCTTGTATTCGGATTTTTTTCTTCTCATATTATTCTCACTATTCGGTCTTCGTGGTTGTGCTATACGGGTGAGTTGCAGTGTCGCGGCACTTGATTAACGGCTGCAGTGGCCGAAAACCGGTCGCTCGTGACTCGTGAGTATGCGAGTGTGTGTGTGTGTGTCACCTTTGCCGCGGCGGCGAGTGGAGAACACGACAACCGACCTAACTAATTAGCCGCCGAGCTAGCTCGCGCGAGCCCGACGGTATGGCCCTAATAGCGTTATCTGGTTCGGGCGACGTTTTATGGTGTTCCGTCGACGGTATTTGTGTGAATAATAATAAAAAAAAGAATTGTACACACATTCACACCGAAAAAAAAGAGAATTTTACTCAAGATTACACGCATGAGTTCCACATATACTATATAGGTGCCTTCCATAGGAGGTATATGCATACAGTAAAATAATAATTTACCAGCACGCGGTGATCGGCGGCGGGCGCCAAACAATAAAATACAAGCGGGTAACGATGGTATAATAATAATAATATACATATTATTATATAGGTAGGTACGTGTTTGGGAAGATAGGACGCCATTTCCGATATTGTACGACGCGGCGCGCGTGTGTGTAATAAAGCTTTATCGTGTTCGGATGTGTCGTGTCCAGCGCGAGGGCAGGACGTTAACAGAGGTGTTCGACAAGTCGTCGTCGGTGCTGTGTTGTCTCGTTCTTATTTTAATGGTCGTCCCGCAAACAACAGGTGCGGCGGGACCGGGTTTTCTTTTTTCCCGATAATTGCCTCGGCCAGACTACTATATCATACCTATAATACTATAACTTATATATTATAATATTACAATAATACAATTTTAGAAAATTCACTGGACGAGTATTATTTTATAGTCACCGTTAGGTAATATATCATGTACAATATAGTGCTATATTACATCACCATAGGTACCTGCAGTACTGCAGACGTACAGTGTATTGTTATACATAAATCTATATTATATAGTATAATATACGCAAACGCATAACATTATATTCGACAAATACGAAAATCCACCAGTTGGATAAACATTAAAATAATATAATATTGCTTACAATGTGGTGTGACCAGACATCCTAACTTAGCCAGTATTACCTACCCATATATCAGTACAACGAGTCACGGCTATCCTGCTAAATCGTATGCATCGTCGAGATGATAAAATAAAAGTGCCGGTTTTAATTAAACGTCCCGATTTCACAATGTCAATCTTAATTCACACAGTGTATCAACAATATTTAAAATAAAAATAAATTTAATACTTAATTATTATTGATTAACATTAACATATAGGCACTATTACAATGCAATTTACTTTATTTTAATTTTGTAATGACACAAATGGCTGTCCTATAAAAGAATATTTTAAAATATTTATACATTCGGTTTTACGTATGATTATTAATTGTATGACCTAAAATATGTTTTCCTACAATTATTCTGTACTAAGGCTGTAACTTGTATTTTTCAAGTACTTCGGTTCTCAAACATGCAGAACTTCACAATCCTATCCCCTCCTATACCTACTCATCCCTTTCTCAGAGTTTGGGTAGACTCGCAATACGTCCTGTGTTCTGCTTTTACGAAATAAATATCGGATCTCGTTAAAATGACGTGACATAATAATGAAATACCCATGTGGCATGTACAGAACGACAGTACTTAAAGATTGCTAAGTAGGTACCCACTTATATAAGTGATATAACACTAAGCAACAATGACACCATTGCGTACGTGTACAATCTAGATGCCAAAAACTCTACGAATATCTGTGTTTTTATCTTTTATGATATTCCGATGTTCGTATTTTTTCGTAATATATCTTTGATTCGTGTGTACACGAACCGTCCCGTGGAGAGATAAAATCCATTGTTTATTATTATTTACTAACCTACCTATATTACTATAATAGAAGTGTATTTATTATATTTATGGTATAGGTAGCTGCAGGTACCTCACCACACGAACTCCATGAGTAGGTATACTGAAATCATGACGTACGGTGAACACAAAATGATTACTATAAAATATAAATATATAATATTACCAGTTGAAACTATATTATGCTCTTATTGCTCCATTTTATTTTCACAAATGTCGAATAGCGTATAATTTATCTCAGTGTCGCATGATACAGTCGTCGTTCTTCACACAAATATTTTGTTTGTGCGTGCAGTTGCAGTCGTGTCAAGTCGCCGGAGAGCTGTATGTTAAGGCGACATTTACACAAAATGACGTTAAACGACTATAACACAACAGGAGGACATTATAATTTATAATATTATATATTAATATTATTATTATACACGCAGACACGCTAACGCCCAAAAGTTATTTTCGTATGCATTTTATATATTACAATATAGAGTATAATATACAGGCTATAGGCATAACCTAAATGGACACCAGGACACCATCGTTGAATACATTTTTATATCACAATTTCAAATGTTAATGCACTTGATTTAAATACAAACATTTTTTTAGACACTACAAACCCTAATGGCTTAACAAATAAACATTTTACAAGTAGTTAATATATAGTACTAAGGCATAGCCATTGTGGTTTAGGGGGCCACAATCCCCTACCCCGTTGACTGTGTTTATTTTAAGTTATATTATAATATTATATTACAAAAATTATTTTACAAAATTCCTAAAGCTCCACCCTCCTAAATTTCTCCCATATTAAACTCCTGGCAACTCCTCTGATAATATAATATAGGAATAAAAAAATTATGAGCAGTAATTACATCTGTCATCTTATCACGGGGTGCTGCGACAGGGGGGGGAGAGCAATGGTGGCTGTATTAATCCATCTTGTAAAGCGTATTGATGCAAACTTATTATTTCGCCCGCCGAAAAAAAAGTAAATGTAGATAGAACTTTATGAATAACAAAAACGAATATTTAAGTTAATATTAATTATTAATCACCTCATATAATATGAAAATATTTGTTATTATAATTTCTAGTAAATAATATTATTTGATTCTTTGATAAAATAACCGATATTTAATTTTATAAAAATTTAAATTAATTAAGTTATAACAAAAAAAAATGTCTATAATTTATTACTTACTGTTACTATATACTTACTTCAGTATTACTCATTATTTGTTGTCAATGTTTTTAATAATAGACTTGCTAAGTAATCCTAGTACCGAAGAGTTCTATATAATATGCTTGTGTGCTAATGCGATAGGGTAGGTATA